ATAAGTGAGAAATGTGATATAAGTGAGCAGTGTAATGTAAGTGAGCAGTGTGATATAAGTGAGCAGTGTAAGTGAGTAATGTAAGGGAGCAATGCAACGTTAATATAAGTGAGTAATGTGATATAAGTGAGCAGTGTAATACAAATGAGCTGTGTAATATAAGTGAGTAATGTTGTAAATGAGCAGACAGGCAGATGAACTTTCCAAACATGGCCATAGGCTAATTAGCATGTGAAACTAATACTCTTTACCTACATACAAGATATCATAGTGGAGAGCTGTGACATGTAGTTTTGTTGCGTTAGATACTCTGTGCTATGATTCAGTCTGACCGCTTCCCCATCTGATAAGAAAGTTACACTGAGCAAAGGCTTGTACCACAAGACACGTACACAGACATTTAACATCCTCTCATGAATCCTCTCATCCTCTCATGACATGACTGCGATTGTCTGATCACAGACAGAATGCAGTGCCTGGTAAGAGTGACAGTGTGGTAGAGTGTGTTCAGAATTCCCTGTGGCGATCAGCCGTCATGTTTGTGCCTCCATGTGCCAGGGGGGTTGCTTAAAGACAAGCCAAGTTAATTAGTGTTGTCAGTCTCTACCCCTGAATATCTCTTAGCCTGCTCCTTCTGAGACACTGCTGAGTTAAACACCAGCCCCAAAGCTACAGACAAGCTAAAAGTACTCTCAGTGTCTGTCTCTGTCATACATTTGACCCTAAACTATTCTTATTTCATAGACTGCCTCACCAGGAAATGGAAGGAGATCAAAGACTTGATTATTGGAGAGAACTCATAAAATCTTAGCTTGAGGCAGTTTTATATTTGAGGAATCCTATTTAGGTACTTATGTATGTTCCCAGGTACGGTTGTATGTTAAAACCAACTTTTGTGTATGTGTTTGTCAAAGTAAAACATGATTCAGAAATAAAAAACCTTTCTGTCTTTTTTTTCTGTTTCCACTTTGCTCAGATGTTCCAGTTCTGTTCCTGTCTCAAGAAAATGATGAGGTGAACGACACAAGCAAAGAAACTCAAGGACAAATGTGAGAGATAAAAGTCAGCTTGAAGAGATGCATTGCCTAGTCCTGGACTGTCAAGATATGCTACACCAGAGAGGACTGTGCACACAAGCTTTGAGTTGAAAAGTAGGGCATTAAAGGTGTCGGGACATCCTCTCACTGGTCAACCTGAAAACTGTATCCCATGAACATTTTATTTGCCTTGATATTTTTAGGACACGCATGGTTACAACTGCTGCAGACATACACGGTAAGAGTTATGTGACGTGAGATTTCGCTCTTGGCTATGAAACCATGATGCAGACTTCTGGGACATACTCGCAAGCCTACCCTGCCAAAGTTTCATGTTCTTCAGGACTTACGCAAAGAGAGTATCACCAAGGTTGCTCATTGAGCGTTTAAGTGCCCCTGTGGACTAATGGGGCTGAAGCTCAGGATACACCCAGTCCCTCTTTTGCATATGAAGACACTTGCTTATAAAGACTCTTCGTGCCAAAACCAGAACCTACTCTGACAGCATTACCACAAAGACTTACACAGAAACCCTCAGTCATGTGACCTGAGGAAATGACCAGTCACATGCTCTGCTGCCGTCGGCTGGTCTGTTTTATTTTATTTTTTATTACCGCAGCATTTATCATGTTCAGAGTTTGCCAAATGTCAAATATACTGTGTGCTATGACTGAATTTTTTATCTAATTAATTGTTCATTCACATTTGACTTGTGAAAGCAGACAAAAAACCAACACAGTCAAATTTTTATTAACATCTATGGTCCATAAACTACTCTTGGATAACATGGTGAGCAAAGAGCCCAACCATTTGCCAACTGTTCACAGCCACAGCAATGGCAACCCAGACAAAACACCCACCACCGTGACTGTGCGCTCAGTGCTCCTCAACCGGAACTCTCCAGATATTGAAAGCAGACTTAAACGGAGACGAAATCGCACACAGCAGGTACGCTTTAAAGATTTGGAGGATAATGATGAGTTCAAGGATAAAAATGAGAAGGCGAGGAGTAAGAGCCCAACAGAGGTTCCAAACTGGCAGAAAGAGTTGACAAACGGGCCCTCGCTGGTGGGAGCAGTCCGTGGGGACATGGAAAAGACAATTGGAGCAGTGACAGCATTTTTGAAGCAACCCAGACAAAACACCCACCACCGTGACTGTGCGCTCAGTGCTCCTCAACCGGAACTCTCCAGATATTGAAAGCAGACTTAAACGGAGACGAAATCGCACACAGCAGGTACGCTTTAAAGATTTGGAGGATGATGATGAGTTCAAGGATAAAAATGAGAAGGCGAGGAGTAAGAGCCCAACAAAGGTTCCAAACTGGCAGAAAGAGTTGACAAACGGGCCCTCGCTGGTGGGAGCAGTCCGTGGGGACATGGAAAAGACAATTGGAGCAGTGACAGCATTTTTGAAGAGAGCGCCACCGCACCCACTTACCCCTGGGCCTACCAGACGCTGCTGGGTCCCAACGCATCCAAGTTCACTCACACTGCCGCTGCCAACTCAGCCATGCAGGAGTACAGCCATCCAAACCTCACCCAGTTTGCAGAAGCCGCCCTCGCTCTCTGCCATGCATACTCGCAGTCACAGCCTGGGGGGAGCCGGGGATGACGGAGACTCCTCCGATGAGCTGACTGCACAGGTCTATGTTCCACCTCGTAGATCACAGAAGAGCTCTGTCCAACATTGTGCCCCTGCTGAGCAATCAAGGTGCCAGAAAACTGAGGACAATCAAACTGCCTCTGCGGGTACATCAACACAACTCCAGCCATGTTCTGCTGCGCCACAAAAACAGTCTAGAAGGAGAGGTAGGAGGAGATATTTAAACAGAGCAGCAAGTGATCCTGGGAAACCTGAGCCTCCTTGTACTTCTCCAACTAAAACTGTGCACAGAAGCCACCAACAGTCTAACCAACTCAAGAAGCTTCCATCCAAAGTTGTGGCACACAGAACTTCAGATATTGTGCCTCCGCAGCGTTCCCCCACACCCAACACAGTTCATAATACGCCATGTAGTGTCTCTTCCACACAGACTGAATCAAACAGTGATTCAAAAATCCAAACTGTCCCAGATAACACAACCTCTGAGGTAGAACCTGCATCTTGTCCATCTCACACTGCACCACCTCCATCAACCACATGTCCCAAAGAAACATCACAATGTTGCCCACCGCAGGCTGCTGCGGAGAACATCAATTTGACCCCCACTGTACCAGAGCCTTTGTGCACTACCACAGCACAAGTCATATCCACTGTCTCCACACCCTCAACACATGGGCATTCATGCATGTCTCCTATTGAGTCTACAGGGCGTTGTTGCACACCTGGTATTCAGAATATGGCAAATTGTAAGACTCCCCGAGTGCCCGAGTCTCAATGCATTCCAGATTCACATACAGATCCCACAACTCCTGCTCAATCCACGCCTTGTTTCCAGACGTTGGAGGAAACCATTCCATGCTCCAACACAGCTGGCTCCAAGGCAGCGTCCTGTTCTCAAGGAGCACCTGCAATTGCCTCTACGTTCAGTTCCACACAGCCATGCCAGAAGACTCCAACACAACCCATGGCATGTGGTAACACCTCAAATCAACCTGTGTACTCTGTGATATCTCCAACACAACCTGTAACTCCAATTCAGTCTGTGCCAAGATGTATGAGTCCTAAACAGAATGAGCCATTGGGTAGGACCCCTACCCTTTCTGTACAGACTCCTATATCAGCCACACACATGCCAGCACCTGTTCAGCCTTCATCATCTTGTAAAATTCCAGTGCAGTCTATACCATACTGTGTCAAAGACAAACCAGCAACCTTTGGCTCTCCCACTCAACCGATGGCATCTCATAAGATTCCTACACAAACCCTCCCTCACAATTTGATGTCATTTTCTCCCAAGCCGTCCTGTGCCACTACTCCACACCCTGCTTCACACTTTAAGGGCCCCATTGCAGTTGCGGCACACGCCATTCCTGCTGCACAAACTGTGGTACCATGCATTTTGGATCAACAGAATGTGGCAACCCATGTGACTCCTTCCATGCCAGTTCTGATTTGTAGCCCATCCACACAACCTGCGCCAGGTAAACTTTCTGTCCAAGCATTGCCACACTGCAACGCTAATATGCAAAATGCAGTGTCTTGCAGTAATCCCTCTCAAATTGTGCCACACTTTAAGACTCCTACTCAAACAGTATCGCACTCCAAATCATTTCCACAAAACATGTCACCTGTTCTCTGTCCACGCGAGGCAATGATGTACGCTAGTAAACCCCAGGAAATTGTGCTTCCCTCTGCTAATTTCAGGCATTCTTTACCTCCTTACGCTTGCCCTCCACTGACTACTCTGCTGTACTCTAACGCTGGGGCGAGCCCCTCCCCTCCTCAGGCCTTCTGCTGCACTCAGGACAGACGAGACAGGAGAGAGTTCATGCTTCCTCCTCCACCACCTCCTCCTCCTCCGTACACCCCCCGGAAAGAGGGCTCCTCTACTCCTGGACAGCCCCGTAAGCCTCCTGTCCCCAAAGCTGAGAGCAACAATGCTGAAAAGGACAGAGTGAAAACTGGGGTAGTGAAGCCAAATGCTGAAGCAGGAACTCACCATCAGGCGGGTGAAACCCCACCTCCTATCCCTCCCAAAACTAAGGCAAGAGCTACGGTGAGGCCCACCTGTTTAAGCAGCCGAAGGGCGATCCTCGGCCCAGAATCCCAGGCCAGTGCAAACCACTTGCCTCCTGCTGGGGGGACAAACCCCCAGGCGGAGGGCCAAGCGGACACTCTGCGGCAGGTGCAGGAGCTACTGGGGGGGCTTATGTCTGGGGCTAAGTGTAAGCTGGACCTGGCAAAGGCGAAAGAGAAACTGTTTGGCCCAAACGGCCCTCTGTACGACATTGGGGCTCTGCAGTCTCAGCTGCACAGCCTGGAAGGGGTGTTGGAGACCAGCCAGAACACCATCAAGGTTTTACTGGACGTCATTCAGGATCTGGAGAAGAAGGAGGCAGAGCGAGACGGGTGAGTAAGCGAGTGAGTCAAGGAATAACGTGGTAAGAAGAGAAACTGTGAATTTCAAAGCATATTTTGTTGGTAAACTCAAATGGGTAACAGCGGTGATTCTCTTCTTTTTTGTGGTTGGTATAGAGGAAATGAGTGAGACATAAACAGCAGGAAATTGTTCCAACCCTCTGCTTTTGCCTATAATCCTATGTTGATTGTCATTAACATGTTCCAGCAGTGATAGCTGTGATGCTTTTTAAACCGCCCTCCCATCTGTCCACTCATCAAGTTCATCACTGAGGGATATGATTGTTTTCATAAGAAAGGCCTCACAGCGTGTCTTCACGCTGAGAGACTTTTCAGATTTCAAGTACATTTTAGCATGTTTATTTTTCAGTAGGGTCCAAAATAGAATATGGCAAACACTATTCATTTTGCTGTCTGATGCTACATTATAATGCTACATAATACTATTACACGTTCTTACCAGACATTGGCTATTGATAAACTACGTGGATCAATGTATGCATATAGCTACAAGTTTTAAAGTATGAATTTCTGAACGTAAGTTTACAAAAAAACATATCAATGTAGTCCTAACACAAATGGATCAAGTAAATTAGCATTTTACAAATTTAAATTTATTGCACGAAGAATTGTGTTGCATTAATTAATTTGAATTAACTAAACCAAACAAGCCATAAAAATACACTTCTGTGTGTGCCAAGGCTTTCATCATCTACAACATCATTTTAAGAGCATAACTGGTGATATGTTTAGTATACATGTGTGGATCTGTCTCATTATTGCAAAATTAATCAAAACAAAATCCTTAGCCTCATTATTAACTATCAGCTGTTCACGGCCCATGAACTATAAAAATATTCAGCTCTGATGTGCCCTGTCAGACATACAACTAAAAATTAATTTTTATTTCTTGAATAAGAAATGAACGTCATTATGATATGATGGCATAATTATCATCATAAAAGCTTGATGATTAAGAATTTTTGATATCACGTGTCTGTAATGAGGTACGGTTACTCGCTGATGGGGATAGTTTCTGAAAGGAAAGCGCCACCAATTTCTTTCATCTACAGCAAAAAAATTCAATTTCCAAGATAAAAAGCAATAAGCTTAAATCTTTTAAAAATTAATGTCTGTGGCATACTTATGATGGACCAACCATGCACTCCGATCTCAGATAGTGGCTCTGTGTTCTTTTTGGCAAATCTTTGTTCTTTATTTGTTTCTTATATAAGCTGCTGTTTCATAAGCTATTTGTTTTCACACAGTATGTGCAAAAATAATATGCATAGGGTGTTTTTTTTTTTTTTACAGCTCTTTCATCGGCTGTTTTTTGTTTGCAGAGCTAACTGAAGAGAAATGACATTCTTCTTCAAATATGATCTAAAATGCATTTTATTTCAAAGCATTGACATTTGTTACTGTAGTTGCTAAGTTGGATTGCAGGCTACTGCAGAAGCTACTGACATCCCAGAAGTCACTGCATAGTAGTTTGATTGGAATTATTTTGATGCTATTAAAATGTCTTGATGGAGCAATTCATCCAGGCTAAAGCACCCGGTTTGTTTTGTTTGCTGTAGCACTTTTTTAAAACATAATCCTGAATCAACATTCATTGAACGATATTCTTTTCAAACAATCATATTCCAAACCCTACACTACCTGTACAATCAGAGGGCTATGATTGGTTAAGAATTTTGTAACACAAGCAACAAAGGGCATTGATCCAGGAAAGATTCATGCTTGTGAAAAAGTCAACTTGAAATCAAAATGCACTTTCTTTTATTTTCTTATTGCACAATTCTTGTCTTATTGTAAGCGATTAGTTGGTGCACATTAATACAAACTAAAAATGTTTAAAAATGCAGTAACTTTGTTAACTTACTCTGCCTTTGAAACAACTTTCCTTTTCAGCTGATGTCACCAAGCCCTCTTATTTTTCATCCCCTTCCCTCCATCTGCATGACTCCATTCTGGTATGTATTGCCATTTCACAATCCGATTGATTCCTAATGCATAAAATCAAGTCTCGTTCTACATTTGTATTTTGTTTTGTTGAATGCCCTATATTATGGAAGCAAACGGGTTGTAAATACAAGTTCATGTTGACTTTAAGCATGCATCTGTGTGCTTGTGAAAATGTGAAACCTTGACCAGATATATGAACTTCCAAATCCAAGCAGATTACAGAACAGAAGCAGGTTTTCTTGTTTTCAAATGGTATTTTTAACTTCTCTCTGTAGCATGAAGCTTAGAAAGTAAATGGTGTCTGAATTTCTAGCATGCAAGAAAATTAACTTGGTTTAAGTTGGTTCCTCAGGTCAGTAAATGTATGATAGTGAATATGAGAACTCAGAACTAGAACAGCAGAGCTGAAGTCAGTCAGCGGACTCTGCCCCTGTTCAGACATGACTCGCTTAAGAGAAGGTTTCCAGAAGACACTATGGCCTACATTAGGGCATTTTCTTGCTTTTGCGAGGGTATTTGCAGAATGCAGAAGTGGGACAGCGCTCAGGAGATAAAACAGCTCTGTGTTCACAGCAGAGGGAATCTCTGTTTTTTCTTGAACGACCATGCAAAACACAAAAACACTGGCAGAGATCAAAACTGTCACAATTAAATACCGACGTGTGCAAAGCATGCATAAACAGACTCACTCTTCACTAAAACACATACAACACTAATTTCCTCACTCGCGTGTTGTTCCTAACCTGCATGACTTTGTCTTTGTTTAGCATGACAAGTGATGCACCAATTGCCATATTTTCATCTTTAATTTCTTTTCAATGCATAATGCTTTTTATATGACCTCAGAAGACAGAAAGTCTTTATTAAAAACAAGAACTTAATTAAATAGCAAGAGGTAAAAAGGGGGAATTTTTAATTTAATGTTGACTTATTTGTCTTTTCATGTTTATGTAAGCTATGGAAATGCTCTGAATATATAACTGCAACTTGTCCATCTCTACAAATGTCAGTGAAATCGATTCAGCGGTTTTGCTTAGATGTGCATCTTATTTTAGTTTCTGTGACTGTACAAAGAGCATGAGTATTTTTAGTGAAGCAGGGCTTCATAAACCCAGGTTAAAAGCAGTGCTAACCCCCTTTCAAAATAAAAAGCATGAAACCTGACTCAACACAACCTCAACAGAGTTTCAAAAGAACATAAATCCAGCATTTAGCATAGTGGGAAAAGCCTTAGAAAGTAATAATTTTAAGTGAGGATCATTTGAGGCAGCTGCTTCAGATGGCCTATAATGCACACACGGTTGTTTGTTGTAGCTGATGAAGGCCCGAGAATTACCACTTTCTTGTTCCTTTGAGAATGTTCAAACACTGGTGTGCAAAATTAGCTCATAATTGCTGCGTAGTATTGCTCGCTGCTTTGTTTGTGGCTCCTATTAGTGTAACAACATGGAGAATGGTCTTAAAAAGGTAGAATGAAAAGCAATATGTAATTTAGAAATCTGTGACCAAACACAGCTCAGTTTTAGACCCTTAACCCTAGCGTTTCATATTTTCAAATTCCAATAATCATCAGCATGATCAAAACATTGCTGAAAAATATTCTGTACAAAATCTTCTACATGCCTTCTGTCATCTGATTGATAGTTTATACTATTGTAGCAAGTAAAAGGCCTTTAATATAACTGTAAAAACGTCCACGTTGAAATCTTTCAAGTTTTATCAAGTAGATGTAAGAATAACTTTTATATTGTTAGTAATAAAAGGCATTTAATCTAACTGTAAAAACGTCCACGTTGAAATCTTTACTGAGTTTTATCAAGTAGATGTAAGAATAACTTTTATATTGTTAGTAATATTTCAAGATGAACACTTGCTGGACTGAAGCAACTTAGCTTTACTTGATTATTCAAGTAAATTGTTTATTTGTTCATCTCTCAATCATTGTATTGCATTATACGTATGTTCAGAAACTACAGAGCTTTGATCATAAAACTATGCATTTATATTATCTTACTACATATTGTTGGGCGATATAGAGTGACAACTGATATTTATATGCATTGTTTGTTAGTAATCTGCTATACTGTTAAAGATGATGTCATTGATTTACATTACAATATATCAGAATATCAGTATATCATCTTACTTTTTGGCCATATAAATATTAGCATCTGCAACAGATAGCACATTTTGCTTAGTTTGGGCGTATGATTAAAATTAAGGTGCTTTTAATTCATATTCTCTCTATATAATACTATATGAGCCATAAAAGCCTGATGCATTAAACAAAAAACACATAAGCAAACTTTTTTTGTTTTAAATTTCATCTAAAAACTTAATAAACTGCTCAATTCGGGAGAAAAAAATCTGGCTATTTCTTGATATGTCAGGTTTTAAAAGGGTCATGTGATGCGATTTAAATTTTTCCTTTCTCTTTGGAGTGTTACAAGCTCTTGGTGCATAAAGATAGGCCTCCGGCCTCCGCTCACTCTAGGCCGTCGTGTGTGACGCTATGTGTTTCGTTGTGAAAGCGAAACTTCTTTGTTTGGTCTTCCAAAAGAGGACACAACTAGAAATCAGTGGTGAAGTTGTATTTACAACACGGTTCCAGAACAGTTCAACCCAAATATTCAGATGTGTGCTGCGCATTTTATGGAGGATGAGGACTGAGAAACAATAATGTACAGTATGTGGAAAATAATGTGTTTTTTTAACCTTAAACCGCATAAACACATTTCATTACACCAAATACACAAAATAATGTTCTTTTTAGCAACATCATATGACCCCTTTAAATGGTTATTGCTGATATTATGGTTTACATTTTCAGACTTTCATAGTCCTCTTTTCCATGGATAGTCTTTCTAGTTTAATGTCATGTTTAGCAGTTCCACATTTTCCATGCATTCTTCCTTTAAATTAGTCATCGGAAAGAGGAGTCATGCAGTTGCAAAGTCATAAAATATGTACGATTCACTTCACCATCATTGAATGTTTTTTACAGAGCGTTTCTTTCTTGTTTT